GGACGAGTAGATACGACTTGGACGAGTGGATACGACTTGGACGAGTAGATACGACTTGGACGAGTGGATACGACTTGGACGAGTGGATACGACTTAGACGAGTGGATATGACTTAGACGAGTAGATACGACTTAGACGAGTGGATACGACTTAGACGAGTAGATACGACTTGGATGGATGGATAGAAATACTTGTGTAGGATTTAGCAGCAAACCAACTTCAGGTACAAATTACAAAAACATTTACTCCTCAACAACATTACTACGACTATCATTTTCATAATTTATTAAACTCTGTCAAAACCAGGAAATATGTTGAGTATGGTTGAACATATAATGCTGTATTAATGAAGGGAGTTTCGCTAACATCTGTAGAAGTAGCAGTATTTAGGTTAGTGGTATTCTTACAATAAAATCTCTGACAATAAACTTCATCTTTCGAGTGTTATAAATATTTAAAGCTTATTATAGCAGTTAAGATGTGTTGCTATGTGAGTGTATCTTTATAATTTTATATATTTCTACTAGGTGATGATATTTCTGATAGAAAATGTTCTGCCACCAGGGTACTTTGCTGACAATCTGCGAGGCTTATCTGTTGACATGGCTGTGTTCCGAGAACTGTTAGATACACGAGTTACTAAGTTATCTCGTCATTTAGAGAATCTTCAGTTACAGGCCAGGGATTGTTCAACAGGTACATCATACAGTTAGAATAACACTCCGTTGAAGGGAATGAATTTTACACTTTGTTAGGTCAAATATTTAGCAAGGATTTTGAAAATTTCTCTTGGCTGCATGAATATTTCATGGTTCAAAATTTATAACCCGAAACTGCTACTGTTAATACTAAATTCATTATTATGAAGTTTTCCGTCTAAGTTGTTTTTTGTACCTTATTCATGGTGTTTTTGTTTGTTTCTGTGCTGTGTTCGTGTAATATTATTTGTTCCAATAATAGCAAAAGCTGGAGGTGGATAAGAACAATATCCATTTATTTACAAATCACATACTAGATGTACTTCCACAGGGTCATAAAAAGTGTTCTGTTTCAAGAGTAAATAAAACCAAAATTAAGAGTAACAAATATTTTTATTTCTTGCTTTTGAAGTTCATGTGTCATGTTGTGTTGTAACCTACAGAGTACGTAATTCTTCTTGTGATTCATGGCATGTGCATATTTTACTGACCACATGACATCACAAATTGCAACGTTAAACGTCCCTTATGTGATGTAATTTTAGTGTCTACTAGCTAACTGACAGACAACACACTACTGTATAATGGTGCAAGTGGTTAAAACAGGTGACTCCTCCAGGCAACCTTTGGCCCCTTTCTAGTGAAACAAACAAGTAAGGGTGAGTTTAACTATAACTGGTCACCAATTTCCAGCCTTTATATAGAATTTAGTAGGATTCTGATCCCTAGATCACGTGATGTACATTTAACCAATGACAAGAACATAGCTCACTAATTATACGGGTAACAAGATTGAATTCTTCAACATTGTAAGGGGTCAAATGAGGAGTTGTGTTTCTGTAATATCTATTCCTATGGGTACATTGGTTACTTCTACAGAAGTGTTTTTAATCATAATATATTGTATATTAAATGTGTAAATGAACTGTTTATGCTTAACAACAAGATTACCCATTGAATCAAGCAGCCTTGTAGTATTTATATATGTGGTTTTCATGGCAAGATTTCACAAGTGTAAGTTAACTGTAACCTACATTATTTTAATTAATACATTTACCCACAAAGACAGTTAGTTTATTGGCTTTATAGTTAATTCTTGGGAGTTTCAAGGAAGTGAAACTTGTAATACAGATGTTCACTGTCACATACTTATCTCCCACTGTGTAGAGTAAACTATCATACTGGATAATCCTGGAATAGCTAAATCAACAATTATGCAGCAAATATATAACTCTGTTGTATGAGTTGGTCACATAACTCTGTTTTGATAGTTTGTTATAACTCTGATTATCATATTCTTTCTAAGTAGGACATTGTAAGTAAGTTTTACATAACTACACCACTTGAATAAGGAGTTTCCTGGTTCACAACAGTAAAAGACACACCCACATTCCATCCACCTGTGAATGTTAGGTTAACTTCACAGTTTACTCAGGTGATGATAATAACAATGCCTTAATGACTTGTATGGTCAGAACATAATAACAGACTGTCCTTTATCTAACCTGCTACACAATCATGATTTAGAGAAGTTACTAACATTGGTTTTGTCTTAACATGGTTCCAGGTTACTTGGTTAGGACAAACAGCCTGTCTATGATCTAACCACCCACAATTACATATTTTAACTGCTCATATTTTGACTTGGAGCAGTTCTTATGTCCATATTATTTCTCGGGTGAATCTTGTACAAAAGTAACTAGTTTGTTAACTGTCCTCGGTTTTCTTCTGGAATGAACGTCAGCAGGAGTGTTCTAAGTTAGTTTTTTCTGAGCTCAACCATTGGAGTCAGTAATCTATTGTTCTATTAAACCAGTCCTTGTACATGTGCTATGTAATTCTCTGTAGCTGCAGAAGCATTTACGATACATTTCTGCAGTCAAATGAGGCTTAGTTGAGAGTGCAGTCTTCCCTAACTGGCTTCATGTACTGTCAGTTTACCATAAGCCTTCCCTAATAAGTTTCTTGTTATCCTAATTGCCAAGTGTTTTTGTCCAATCCAGAGTTTCTGATCTTACATGTTTTGCACTATAAAGATGATACATCTTGTGTGTTAGTATCCATCAACCAGTGTTAGCTGGTTCAATTACCATAATTTTTGGTTTGGTAACTGGAAATTATCTGCATGAGTTATTTAGTTTTGGGATTTTTGCCCAAGAAGGAGGATAAAAAAGCCCCAGAAATAAAACAGATTTCCACTTTTTATATACTGTGGCTTTAAATTTAAAGACACAAGTACTTAACCAATTAAATGAGTCAGTTATTACCTTCGACAAAGCAACTAGCATCTACTGAGGTCAACAGAGATTTAATAACAAAAGAAAGAAGGAAGGGAAACATTATCAAACATTGTCCTTTTTACAATTTTTACTTGTTTAACGGGTACTCTGAGTTAGTATTACGAGCATACAACTTGTGTAAATATCATCCAGACATTTACTCTATGATGATGTAACAATAATGAAGAGTAGACCATCTCTTCTGTAGGTACAAACTATGAACCACCTCTGACAAATGTTTTCACTATGCAGTGGTTCCTCACTTTGTTCTCAACTTGCTTACCCAAGTCAACAGTTCTTAAAGTGTGGGATCTCGTCTTCCTTGAGGGAAATGAAGTTTTGTTAAAAACTGCTCTAGCAATCTGGGAAGGTCTGTCTCAGTAAGTATCTATATTTTTTATATTATGTTTTATTTTATAACTAGCTGGAGCATCTGCTCCCTGGATGGAAGTTATGTAAATTCAAGATTAATGAAAGGTTATCTTAGGACATGAAAAGTTGTTTTCCTTATAGATAATTGTAAAAAACGCCCATAAAAACTGCAAAACACAACATGTGAAACTGCAAATTTGCAAGTATCTCCATATGGACTCAACAAACCTTCATGTCAAATTTGATGAAGATCCATCAACAGGGGCTGAAGTAGTAGTAAAAAACGCCCATAAAAACCTCAAAATGTAAAATACAAAACTGAAACTTTTTATGTATGTTCCCATGGACCCAATGAACCTCCATATCAAACTTGTTGCAAGATAAACAGGCAAAGTAGTGGTAAAAAATTAAAAAATGCCTATAAAAACAACAAAACTGAAAATTAGTATGTATCTCCCCATGGACCCAATGAACCTCCATATCAAACTTGGTGCAAGATAAAGAGGCAAAGTAGTGGTAAAAAATTAAAAAATGCCTATAAAACAACAAAACTGAAAATTAGTATGTATCTCCCTATGGATCCAATGAACCTCCATACCAATTTTGGTGAAGATACATCCACACTCTGCGAATTAGTTACAACAGACAGTACTGTTATATTTATATAGATGTATTATTTTACTAATTAAAGTTTTTCTTTAAAATATAAAGGGTAAAAAATTTACTAGTATTTAACATAACACTGACATTCATTAACCTTCTTTTGTAAAAGTAGATAAGATGGCAAAAGTACTAAAATAAATTTAAACAAATTAGATAAGAAATGCTAAAGAGAGTAACAGGAGATTAAGAGCTTACAATGTACACTAAGAGTATTACTACTGAGTGTTACAGTGTGCACTAATAGTGCTTGCAACAAAATGTCTATGATGTTATTGGAAGACTAAAATTATCTGTGGATTATGTTACTGATAATTGGAACTTTTCCGGAAAGCTCATTTATTTTAAGTGCTAAGGTGTTCTAGAAAGTTTAATAAAAGCATTCTGGATTATCTCAACCATAGTGAGATAGCTTAGACCTGGGTGATTGTGAATGGATTATCTGTTTTATGTATGCTGGTGGGTGAAGTATCTGGGATTGTGTATGATTATGTTTGGATATGAAATCTTTATATATCTCTCAGGTCTGATTAGTGTACGCTAATAACTCAGGATCAAAGAATGTGACCAATCAGTCAAACAAGAGCGTAAGGTAATAACATTTTGTTGTCAGCAGTGAAAGTTTTCATTTATTAATTTCATTTGACTTTATAGATAATAAAAAAGTAGCTACTTCTCTAATACCTGCATGGATAAGATAATTTTGTTAACAGTTCATTTTCGATCGATGTATACGTTGTTGACTACTCACATGGATAAAATAATTTTGTAAAGAGTTAATTTTTTTACCAATATGTATATTGTTGACTACTCACATGAATAAGATAAAAGCTCATATTGTTGACAGTGAAGTGTTGAATGTAGAGACAGCAGATGAGTTTTACAGTACAATGGGACACCTGAGCAGAGAAATGTTAGAGTTTGGACTAATGGATCCAGGTGAACTCATACAGGTAAGATAAAGTTTATTTTTACAGGTAAAGTGGAAACATGATTTGCAGTACTACAACAAATTTTCCGTTTCATATACTTATTTCCAAGAGCTCTGATATCACTGCTGTTCTATGTGTCATATTTTTATATAAAAACAACAAAACCTAAATAATCCATGCCTAAAGAATATTATAATTTGAAGGCTTACAGTTGCCCTCTACCCCAAGTTTTAGATTACAAATTGATATAAAAATCTACGAGAAAATAAAATAGAATGAAAGCAAAATATAATAATAATAAATAAAAATAAATAAATAAATAATCCATGCCTAAAGAATATCATAGTTTACAGTTGTTTAGTTACTTCATCTGGTTATTTTTATTTCTTAAAGTTTACAGTTGTTTAGTTACATCATCTGGTTATTTTTATTTCTTAAAGTTTACAGTTGTTTAGTTACATCATCTGGTTATTTTTATTTCTTAAAGTTTACAGTTGTTTAGTTACATCATCTGGTTATTTTGATTCATCAAAGTTTACAGTTGTTTAGTTACATCATCTGGTTATTTTGATTCATCAAAGTTTACAGTTGTTTAGTTACATCATCTGGTTATTTTGATTCATCAAAGTTTACAGTTGTTTAGTTACATCATCTGATTATTTTTATTTCTTAAAGTTTACAGTTGTTTAGTTACATCATCTGGTTATTTTGATTCATCAAAGTTTACAGTTGTTTAGTTACATCATCTGATTATTTTTATTTCTTAAAGTTTACAGTTGTTTAGTTACATCATCTGGTTATTTTGATTATTGAGGTACATTTTTGATTATTCAAAATATAATGCTTTTAATAACCACTAAAGTATAAAAATATCATTGTGTTAATGTAAAGACCTGAGTAGTGTCTATTTTTGGCAGAAAATTTGCACTATGGAACCCTTTTTTCAACTAGCGGAGCTACGAGACAAATATAACTATAACGTTTATCCTCTCCTGCCACAACATACATGTGACAGTGATAATGATGACGGTGGACTATCAACCAATAGAGAGTGGTGTTTATCCAGCTTTTTAAATGTGACATCAATTAAAGGTAGGTTTATGAACATGCCATTAGTTGATAGTATGCTGACTTGTTAGGATTCTATGTTATCAAAATGGTGGTGGTGGTTTTTCTTCAGCTTTCTAAACATGTTATTAACAAATGATAAGTTGATTTTTGAACATGTTCTGCTTATATTTAATATCAAATGGAGTTTCTGTCACTCTGTTAGAAATTCTTAAGTTTAAAACTTACCTTGTGACAGGTTTAAGAAGATTTCTTTAAGTTAATATGTTCTTGTTACATGTAATTAAACACCATTTCCTAACAACAAACACTTAGCTTCATGACAGAAGTTTTCAAAATTGGTGATTTCTTTTCACTACTTAATAATCTTTCTGAGTAGTAGGAGCAATAATAGAGCATTTTGATGAAAGGTCTTTGTGAAAGTACTCACAACTAGAAGATAATATCACTAAAAGGTCTTTGTGAAACTACTCACAACTAGAAGAGAATATCACTAAAAGATTTGTTTATTATATTCAGTCCAAGATAATATCACTAAAAGATTTGTTTATTACATTCAGTCCAGGATAATATCACTAAAAGG